GTTTCTCCCACATACATGATATTACAGGTTGAACATGTTACTGCATAGGGTTAGAGTTAGGGTTACACACGGGATTCAAAATGTCTTTAATCACCACTAACTTTTGAAATGTAGCGATTAATGGAGATTCAAAATGTTGCTGGTTGGACAGCCCTCACATAAATATAAAATGCTGAATTATGAATAAATAATGAAACATCTTTTCAGACTGGTGGTCTCCTGCCGTTCATCATCATCAGGACAAACTAACGTTACTCTGTAGTTCATCTTTATTAGGAGGAGAATATGTGACCTTTAAACACAACCTTCAGTTTCTGTTTGAAGCCTTAAATGTAGATTCAGGATATTTAGAGCGAGGAGTCTCAGGAAACGTGGGATTAAAACTCTGAAACATTCTGAATAAACTTCCTCCTGTCTCATCAGATCAGCTTTAGAGTTGAAACTATGAAAAGATCTCACCGTTGATGTGAACGTAGGTCTCTGCCTCAGTGTGGTGTTTGATCTGGTCCTGTGTGACCACACAGCTGTAGTGGTCGGTCTTGGTCACAGTGGTTTGGAGGATGATGTCGTAGCTGCCTCCTCTTTCTGTGACCTGTGCTTCTTTAGCATGAAGGATGTTTCCAGAACTGTCCCTCCACTCCACTTTAGGTCGAGGAGAAGCTCCTCTGACTAAACACTGCAGCAGGGCCTGTCCTTGGTTTGATGAAGGTTGGTGACAGTGCGGCTCTGAAGCTGCTCCTGTGGACACGGAGGAAACAAAAGATTTCATCAGAAAGCTGCAGAATAGATGTTTCAGATTAAAGCATGTGGAGGTAGATAAGTAAAGTATCACAAAGAAGAAGACAAGCAATATATTTAAAAGACATTGTGAATATTAACATGACATGAAATAAACATTTAGTATTGTGGAGTAAAGACTTCATAATAAGAGAGTGAATTTAAACTCCCTCTGGGTTTGTTGTTCTCAGCTCTGAGTTCACAAATACGGGACTGCCATGTTTCCTTCAGCAGTATTTATGTCTCTTTTGGAGGGAACCCTCCCTGTCCAACCGTACGCCCTGCCACCACCTGGAGGAGGAAGGACGGCCCTGAAGTCAGAACTCCAACTCTGGAAACTCGGAGCGACCTCAGTAGCCCGAGCTAAAATCCAACATGGCTGCTGCGTGCATCTACAGTAACGTTTAAGCTGAAACTGATGTAATGAAATCAATCACACCGATGGTATCGTGGAAGTTCTCTCTGTGGACATGTGGTCATGTGACGTTCAGACACAAACTATCACGTAGTGTGTTGTTATCAAACTAAAGAACTGCTGGAGGCGTCCATGTTGCTGGTCAAACTGGTTTTCAAACTGGTCATGGGAACGCGCTCAACTCGGGTGTGACGTCAATCCTAGCTCGGACATTCGACTTGAGAGGTAAATGGAACGCACCAGAAGTCGTACTACCATGTTGAAGAGGAGTCACAGCCCCCCCCCCCCTCCAAGGAGCCGTGTCTGGGTGGATTAAAACGAGGGCGTCGTTGCAAAAGAACGACGGCAGGAGAACCAATGACGTGCGGCTCTGAAGCTGCTCCTGTGGACACGGAGGAAACAAAGGTTCATGGAAAGAAGATTTCACATCCCTTCATGTATCTCCACTTCTCTTCTTTTATATTCCTCTACTGTACACGCCTTAGTTTATCTCAGCCTGTCACATGCTAAGTCCCGCCTCCTGGGAATGGCTGTAGGCCAAAACAGCTGTCAATCACTCCCTCCCAGCAGACGTGGGTTGTGTCTCCGTTGATCAGAAGCCGTTCAGGACGACGAGTGAGCCGTCTCTAAGTTGAGGTTAAAGGTCATGTAGCCCTTCATGATTGGACAGTGAGAATGTGTGAGCGTCCATGGAGATGTAAGCGCTCTTTTCATCTCATACGGCTCTAAAGTGGAACATATGTGATGTGATTCTTGTTGGTTTTTCTGCTGCTATTGATATAAAAACATCTGAATACTACTAATATCATTTACTCTTATTTCTAATGTTAGTTATATGTCTACATCGGGGGCGGCTGTGGGTCAGTGGGCGAGTCGGTCGTCTCTCAACTGGAAGGTCGGGGGTTCGATCCCCAGCTCCTGCAGCCACATGTCCCATGTGTCCTCGGGCGAGACGCTTAACCTCAAGTTGCTCCCTCTGCTTCGTCGGCGGCGTGTGAATGTGTCTGAATGGATGAGTTAATCCTCTTTACCCAGCAGCCTCAGTATGACATCATCAGGTGTGACATCACCTGGAGCTCTGACCTCAGTCACAAACATACGATCACATCGACACATTTCAAACAAAGTGGACACAAACTGAACTTTAGAAAGTCGCTGGAGGTAGAGTTGATGTCTTTCCTGTCGTGTTGAATCGTGTTCCATCGTGTTCCTCGTCTCTTCTGTGACGCTGATCTGATACGGCGAGCTGCACGTGGAGGAACACGGACGCTGTGCGCTTTTAAAGAAAGTAGTCCCCGAGGAAAAGGCGGTCTGATGGAGAGGTGTAAATATTGACAAACACAGCGGACACTCAGGTTTCTGTGTTTTTCTTGAAGGTGGGACTTTTAGTGAAGCTGCTCGAGTATGTTTTCATCTCCTGCAGGTAACACGCCGTGTGGTCATAAGAAGGTCAAACGAGCACACGGTCAAACTGTGTACTGTCCCTTTAAGGCCTTTAGTGACCTCCATGGATCAAATGATTAAAGGGACGATCAGTGCATGTGTTTGGAGCTAAAGGAGGCTCCTAGTTATACTCTGTTTTAATGATCATGTCGGCCTCAGTAGATTCAGCTCGGACATGTTTCACATTATTAACACGTCGTCTCTTCTCACTCACTGAAACGTCTCCGATTCCTGTGACGGCACGCCGCTCCTTACAAATGTGTGTGTGTGTTTCTGAATGTGTGTGTGTGTGTTTCTGAATGTGTGTGTGTGTTTCTGAATGTGTGTGTGTGTTTGTGTGTGAAATCTTTCCTCCATCATAACTAACGACTGACTCGTTTCAGAGCACTGATTCAGTCTGAAGTCACGTCTGAGTGCAGCTCTCAGTCAGGAGCTCTTTGGTGAGCAGGTAACATCTGCAGCAGCGTCCAATCAGAGAGCAGCAACACGGTAACCATGGAGATGAATCCAGCAGGACCAGCTGCAGTAAAAACTGTCAAGTAAATAAGTTTGAGTTGAAGGTGTGAAACATTAAAGTGAGCTCCTGATCCTGTGTGAAGGAGCAGCAGGTGTTGTTTAGTTTTGCTCTTTTAGATTCATGTCTGCAGGAATGTTTTAGTTTGAAGATAAAAAGAGTTCATGATGTTCACACAGAGACCAGATATGATGACCTACACACAGAAACACATCATGAAGAGTTAGAATTAACACCTGAATGTATTTTTAGTCATAAACTATTCAGTAAATAATCTTCCTCACTTCATTTCGATTCTTTTTGAATTATTTCTGACCTCCTCTTCGCTCTGGTCATTTCTTTTGTTTTCTGAACTAAATAGTTTCTTCAGTTTGTTCCATCAGCTGCTCAGTTAAACCTGGTGGTTAGTGTGAGGTGATCATTTCAACAACAAGCTCAAACGTCTTTAAGAACTCGTCTTTGTGTTGTGAACACTTTTAATGTAGAGATGCAGAATTCAACTTTTTTTAATGGTACGGTAGTTCAGGGTGAACTGTGGGTAAGATGGAGTGTAGGAGCCATAATGTGTGTTTTTACCTCAGTTGATTATTTGTTATGTTTTGCTCCTTATATGGGTTTCTTATTATTTCTGGTAATTAGCAGTGGGCGTGGTTTACTTTATTTTTACCTGTGCATTTGGGGTGGCGGGAGGCTAGACAAAGGGGGTGAGTGAGTCATCGTCATCATCACCTAAATCATCATTTTTGGACCTTTTCTTTACAAATACTGTTTTCCCTTTTTGTTTTAATAAATCTACAAAGATATCTGGACTTTTGGACTTCTTTATATTTTCACACACTTAGTTTCTGTGCTGCATTTTTCTATCTTCAGCCGACACAGAGAGTTTGTGTTTTTAAAAGATTTTAATTTAGTGATGCAGAAATTAATTGAAATGTTTTTTTACTCATGAGGGAAAAGTTTGGCAAACATCTAAAGCTACACAGGAGGGAGCAGACGTGTTGGTTAGAGGTGCAACAAGAGGTAGAAAAGAAGAAGAACCAGCAGGAGGCGTTTTGGATCCATAACTTTCAGACTACTGAACACCCGGTCTAAACGAGGACGTTCATTTTTCTGTCTTTTTGTCAAAGATTGTTGAGTTTTAATGTAAAGTCCAGTGAACACTGAACGACTAAAAGAATTCATGAGCTCATACTGTACAGTGTTCAGCATCACAAGTGTCAATAAGAAAAAGTCCCACAGACGGAGGTTGAAGTCTGATCGATGTGTATTTCAGTCGGCTCTAATACACACCAGGAAAAACGTTCTCTCTCTCTCTCACAGCATCCCAAATAAACACAAAGTGACTGACAGCTCAATCAGAACTGATTCTCCCCGTCAGCTGGAGCTCTGCAGATGTTTCCTGCTGATGGTTCTTTCATGATCGGAGTGTGGAGACAGATTAAACAGTCATGCCTGCTGTTGCCATGGTGATTTTAGACGCTGTCTGTCAGTTTGTGAACAATCAGGAAAGAAGTCCCTGAAGTGGGAGAATCAGCTGGTGGCTCTGCGCTCACCGTGCAAAGTGTGTGCAGTCGTACGACCAAAACAATCACACATGAACAAATGATCCGAGCAGCAGGGAGCAGCTGATCGGGCCGTGACCATCACGCCTCAGTGTACACTGCTCCACTAACGGCGTGCTATCGGGCTGAAATGCGGCCTGACTTCAAATCAGTCGTACGACTCAAAAGTCAGGTCTAAGTCGTCCTGAAATCGTCCGGTGCACGGCCGGCTTACTGTAAGAGTTGGGTTTGAATCTCCTGTAAACGTTGTTTTGATTTGTTTTTGTTGTGTTTCCTGTTTGTGGTCAATATTTACATTTTCATCATATTATGTATAAATGTAAACATCTGCTCCACCTAGTACAACTTTATCTCTGTTTGACTTCCTGATGAAGGACTGATGAGTTCTTGTTTTTTTAAGGTCTACATGATGCCAAGTAAATAAAGACATTTTCATTGTTTAAAAAGCGAGAGCCTCGGCTGCACAAAACTTCTCACTGTTCATTTTTCCTGTTTTCAAAATGTCTTGTAATAAATGTTACACAGAGCAAACGTAACTCTGAGGATCTGAATGGATAGAACGTAAAGTGTTTGTAATATTTGGGGATAAACATAACTGTTAATATGAAATGATAACTGACGAGCCTGCTCCTGAAATGTGTGAACTCAACATGAAGCTGTTTTCTAATCCTGAACATTTCACTGTTATCACAAACACGTCCACACTGACATCACTGAGCTACAACAAGAGAAACACTGACTCTGTACGTCTGGAACTGATCTCAAAGTCAACCTTCACACTCTTCTTCTTCTCTCTGTCCAGTCATCAAGTTAGTCCGTTCAGAGAGTCACTGAAAGTCTGAATTTCTTAAACTCACTTTGAATAAAGTTTCACTTGTGAAGTATCCAAACACGTTTCACATTCAGTCAGAACTCATTTACATTTAAAACAAAGAATGAACGCACAGAAAAACAGAAAGTAGAACAAGAAACATCTCACCGTTGATGTGAACGTAGGTCTCTGCCTCAGTGTGGTGTTTGATCTGGTCCTGTGTGACCACACAGCTGTAGTGGTCGGTCTTGTTCACAGTGGTTTGGAGGATGATGTCGTAGCTGCCTCCTCTTTCTGTGACCTGTGCTTCTTTAGCATGAAGGATGTTTCCAGAACTGTCCCTCCACTCCACTTTAGGTCGAGGAGAAGCTCCATAAACTTCACACTGCAGCAGAGACCAGTCCTTTGATTGGTCGAGTGTGGTGACAGACGGCTTGGGAGCAGCGCCTGTGAACACAAAGTACAGATCAGGGGTCGTCATTGGCCAGCTTTTGTCATGACAGACACTGAGGGGACAGGAATTTAAAATATGCTTGCACACAGCTTTCAAGCCTGATGTGAAGAAGTTGGAGTCAGAGGGGAAATGTAATGTCTCCCATTAACATCATGTGAGTATCTCAGCCTTGTGATTTTATTTGTATGTTCATGGTTTATTCCCCAGAGATCCTTTATATTCTGGGGGCCACATGAGAAGCTTTGGGGGACCGTATGTGGCCCGCGGGGCGCCAGTTGATAATCACTTTTATGGAGCATTATACTTTGTAATGAAAGAATGGACCTAGGTAAGCCTGCTTGAGATTTAAAGAAGGAATAGGTGTAAAAAAACAGATTTAGTCAGGAAAGCAGCAAATGGACCTTTTGGTAGAAAACAGCTGATCATAAACAGCAGATTTATTTGAGTATATTTCATGTTTGTAAGTTCATTGAGCCTTTAAGGACAGAGATTTAAAGTGAACTGGTTTCCATGGAGACCAGTCACCTGTATGACTGGCAGGTAGGATGTATTAACACATGCAGGAGTGATTTAAGAAGTGGAAGTCCAAAGTAGAGGAAATGAGTATTTGTAGTCCCTGTAGTTGTTAAGATGGTATATCAGAGTTTATATTTCAGAATCATTCTATCAAATCTAAATAAAGCTAAAGCTTTGAAACATCATCACTCTACAGTTATTCTTTAAACAACATTACAAACACAATGAGTACACTGCTCTCTGGTTCTCAGCTTCTTGAACACACTTAGACCTGTCAGCAGGATCTGGACTCACCTTGGATTTTTTCAGGTGTTCTGTCCTTTAAGATAGCACCTGGAAGGTAAAAGACATGAGATGTTAGAGGGACAGATGATCAACTTCACCCTGGAGGAAGAATGTAAATGTGCTGCCTTTATAATGTGTGTAGAGCTGAACTGTGGCTGTGCAGAGTGACATTATGGATCACGTGTTTCATGTCTGATACAAACTGTGTCTCTCCAGATGTGGCTGCAGCTCTGTGGGGATGAACACCTGCCAGATGTTTATTTGAAATCCACCTGGGACTCTTCAAACACGTCTGACTGAACCAGAAAACTCACCAACAACCAGCTCAATGTGGAACATTTGACTCGGCTGCAGACGAGGAAAAAAACAGGTGTAGTTTCCACTGTCGGCCACCTTGGTCTTCCTGATCTTTATGGAGGCGTTACCGTTCTTCAGCTCGTCGTTAAAATGTGAGACTCGACCTTCAAACTGTTTGTCTTGACCTGAAAGGCCGTGAGCGTAATAATCTCCTCCGTCGTACATGAACACCTCCTTGTGATCGTCTTTCTTCCAGTCAAACAGCTTCGTCTCGATGTTCTCCTTGGTGCTGAGGGAACACGGTAACACAGCATCACTGTCTTCTTTCACCACCACTCCACCTGAGACAGAAACACGAGGATGAATCAGTTTGTTTACATGCAGAAAAATAAAGTTCAGTTTGTGTGATAATCTAATGTCAGTTTCTGATCATAATAATCTCACTGTTTATCTTTGTGTAGCTAAATGTCATCATGAAATCATTTCCACTGAACTCGGGCGTCTTCACAGTCGTTTACATTTTACTATGTGACACATATTCATCATATTTAACCATCTATCTCATTTATAAACCCTCATGTTGATGTTTCTGTCTCCTCATCCTTTTCTTTACACATTCATCTGATATCAAAGATAAAAAACAAACATGTCACACTTCTGAACAGAGACTAGTGAATGTTTACATCAGTATTCATACGTTTCTTTAGTCAAAGTGTCTCTGAATCAGCCGATTAAACTCTTTGAATCTGAGATTTCTGAGGAGAAGGAGGTGAAACTTCTTTCTCTGCTTCTTCTTTTAGTTTGATTTATTCTGACTCTTATTTCATAATTCATTAAAAACTTCATTAAACTCTGATACTCCCTCACACAGTGGACTCACATCCATGTTGTATTATCTGTAATTGATCATGGTCCATAATATGTGAGTGATGCTGCAGTTTTCTCTCTGCAGGATGGAGGAGACGCCCTCCAACATCTACTCCCAGAGAGACGAGCATCACACTGCGCATGTCTGTTAAACGGCTGTAATGTGATGACGTCACCTGAGCTGTGGAGGTTGATGTTTTAATATTTCTGTATTAATGTCCTTTAGTTTCAAACGGAGCTAAATATCGATGCTAACAGTCTCCGGTGCTAACGTTATCTCCCCTCCGCTGATAAACTTCCTACTTTTCTGTCTCCAGACTTCATGTTTCAACATTTTTTACATTTATTTTTCATCCATTTCAATCTCAAACAGTTCAGAGTAAATATGAGCCGTTACTTTTCTCACCGTTTTCATCAGCAAACGTTATTCCAGACCGAGTCACGACGCAGAGACACACGAGAGGAAGAAGCTTCATAGTTGTTGATCTGAACATTCAACGTGACGTCACTGACGGGCACTTCAGAGGACGCTGCTGTGACGTCACTAACACGATGATCTCCTAGCAACACTTTCGATGATCGTCCTTCAAAATAAAAGTATTATGTCGAAAACACAAACAATAAAAGTCTGAATGAATAAATAAAACCTTCTCACAATACTGTAGCACAATCCCCAACAAATAAGTTTGAACATTTATCAGCTCAATGAACCAAAAGTGATTTTTTTAAGTTTAACTATTTAGAGAGCAGCTAAACGGTCACTGTGTTTCTCTTTTATTTCTGTCTCATATTTTTGTATTAAAGTTACAGCTGAATTATTTTACATTTTAACTGCAGTAGATGTTTTGTTAAATAATTTAAAAAATGTTTAATAATTCTGATGGTTAACTTCAAACAGGAATTCATCATATTCTTTAAAATTAAATGTAACACTGTGCCGTTTTATATCTTATTTTATTTTTATTTTACAGGGACATTGCATATTAATAAACATTTCTGTAAATGTGCCAGAGTTAGCCAAAAGGCTAATTTTCATCTGTTGTCCCTGGCCAGATTTTATAAAAGGCTCCCTAAAATTTAAAAAAAAAAATTCAAACATTGCTAAAAGCTACAAAAACAAGTATTAGTAAAAGCACGTATCCAATAACCTACTAAAGTAACTGTAACGTGCACACAACAAAACAACATGTAACACAATATACAATAAACACGTAGAAATTACAAATTACACAAGGCCACATAAAAAACATTGAGTGAGCTATACCTGAAGCTCACCTCAACAGACAACAACACGCAGGACACATTCATTTAAAAAACAGGACACATTCATCAACAACCAGACACAAGGGGGCAGCAGCGAGCGGAACAGGTTTAGTGCTGGCAGATGTGGTTATCAAATAGCCAGTGTTTCAGATGTGAACTAAATGAACGATATGTGTTGCTCTCTCTGATAACTGTTGGGATGTTGTTCCATTCACGTGAGGCTGGAACAGAAAAGGCCGACTGACTAAAAACACACTTCCTTAGAGGAATAATGCAGTCGCCTCTTGAGACACCCCTCCTGAAGTGATGTGTGTTTGTTCATATGCTTACAAACTCTCTGAGTGGGGGAGGGGCCAAACCATGTGAGATTTTATAAAGGAGCATTTTTGTGTTTAATCATGTTCTCCCAGCTCAGGAGGTTGTATTTTCTGAGGATTGAACAGTGGTGGAATTGCTTTGGTTTTTTGTCTAAAACTTTTATTGTCTGTTTATTCAAAGACTGTCGTGGTTTTAATGTGGTGTGACTTGCCTGAGACCAGCTTGTCATACAGTAGGTCATATATGAGAAAATCATTGAATGCATGTACATGTTGGCTGCTTCAGTAGACATGGAGTTTCTGATAAATCTGAAGTTGGCAAGGTTAAATTTAATTTGTTTACAGACTTTTTTTTACATGTGCTTTAAAGTTCAGGTTGGAGTCAAGTATAATGCCAAGGTATTTGAATTCTTTTACAATCTGTAGTTTTTCTCCTGACACAAGTATATCTGGATCGGATATCTGGTTTGAGTCATTTGTTTTAGTGAAGAACATACCAACAGTTTCAGACACGTTAAGTTGGAGACAGCACTGATTAAGCCATGCTGTAATTTTGACCATTGCGGTTGTTAGTTTTGAAGCAACTTCTGCTTTTGTTAAACCATGCACATACAAAACTGTATCGTCAGCATACATTTGAATGTTAACCTCAGGACACACAGATGGCAGGTCATTTACATACAGGAAGAATAAAAGTGGGCCCAGTATAGATCCCTGCGGAACGCCCGTGGACAAGCAGAGGGTGTCAGATTGATAATTAAGTATTCGCACACTTTGAGAGCGGTTGGAGAGATATGATTCTACCCATTTAAGTGCATCAGCAGAGAAATTAAAGGTGGATAACTTAGATAGAAGAACCCTGTGATTTACAGTGTCAAATGCTTTTCTGAGATCCAGAAAGACAGCACCAACAATGCCACGGTTATCTAGCAGTGATTTGATTTTTTCAATGAGGAAGCAGTTAGCTGTCTCTGTTGAGTGGTTGGATCTGAATCCAAACTGCATTGGATGCAGGTGATAAGAGCTGTTGTTCAGGTGATGCATAATTTTCTCAGCCGCCCATTTCTCTGCAACTTTAGACATACTAGGAAGAATGCTGATGGGCCTATAATTGCAGGGTGAATGGGGATCACCAGATTTGTACATTGGTGAAATAACGGCAGATTTCCACACCCTTGGGAATTCACCCTGTGATATTGAGAGATTAATGATTTTGGTGATGGGTTTGGCTAATGCTGCACCAAGATCCTTAACCATTGTTGTGTCCATCCCAAAATCATCTTTTGCTTTTGATGGCTTGAGGGATCTAATAATTTCTGTGATCTTTGATTCACTAACATTTATAAAATGGAAAGCTGGCTCTGTTTTGTTTGCCAAGCACAGATTAACCTGCTTAGCAGAGAAGCTCTGTGCAATAGTTGCTACAGAATCGACAAAGTATCGATTAAGAGCTCCAGCTACTTCAGCTGGGTCCTTCGTCAGGTTTCCATTCAGGCTAAGTTCAATTTGTTTTCCTACTTTGGTTTGTTGACCCAGGAGCTTTTTTAACTGACTCCATATTAATTTAGAGTTTCCCCTCGCCTCATTAATTATTGTCATAAAAGAATCAGCCCTAGCCTTCCTCAACCCTGCTATCACCTTATTTCTTAACATGGCAAAATGAATTTGTCGTGGAACAATCTGGTCTTAATGGCCATTTTCAGTGCCAGATCTCGCTCTTTCATCAGTTTTAAAATATCTGCATTTATCCAGGGAAGACTGTTCTTTTTATTCCTATACTTAAACTTACGGGAGAATTCTGTGATGACACTATGCACTTTACTTGAGAATATTTGACTGCCCTCCTGCAAGTTTTTTCCCAAGAGCAAATCATTCCAATTGACGCTATTTATAGTGTTTTTAAAACATTCCTGCTTGTTCTTAGGAATTCTAAGAGATTCATTCTCTTTGGCAATTGAGGGGCTAAATCTCATTTTTGTTAATTTTCTGATCACCAGAATAAGATTGTGGTCAGATATCCCAGTGATCATATTGAGAGATTTAGTCATTCTCTCAGGTCTGTTACTAAATACCAAGTCAATCTGAGTTCTGGTGGATTGGGTTATTCTTCTTGGACCCTTGATCAGCTGTGAGAGATCTAAACCATCAGTTATTTGTTTGAGGTTCTTTCTAGTAGCCTTATCTTCCCAATTAACATTAAAATCGCCCATTATTATCACCTCTTTTTTAAAATTGCACTCTACAAGCATGTTTTGGAACTTTTCATAAAATGCATTATTTGCAGAGGGTGGGCGGTAAATTACAATCAGGACAAAAGACATTTGTGGTGACAAAGTGATATTCAAGCCAATACATTCAGCTCACAATTTGACCAAGTTAATTCATTACATTGAATACTATCCTTCACATAAACCATGACCCCGCCTCCCTTTGATGTCACTCTATCTCTTCTGAAGATTTGATAGCCAGGTACCTCTAATGCTGCAGATGGCGAGTTTTCATGCAGCCAAGTCTCTAGAAAACATCCCGTTTGTCGAGCTCCTATGTTGAAACTATCCTAAACTTATATATTTAAATAATTGAATCAACACATAAAGCAACACTTAACCCTTAATCCCACCTGGAAGTTTATAACAGTCTTTTTAGAGTTAATTTACTGTAGTAAAGATCACTATTTTATCTCACTTCCCTTCTTCACCTACCTCAGTTCACTTCCTGGTTTCTCCTTCCCCTTCATTGATTGGTTGTTGTTTGTCCTCTATCAGAATTCACCTGATCACTGCTCATTTAAAGACTGCTCTCGCTCCTCTTCACCTTCACTCTGAAGTTTGAACTATGTGTGTTTATTTCATTTTTGTTTCCCCCTTTATTGAACCTTTGACTTGAATTTAAAGAAATAAACCATAACTGAAGTTCATGCATCCTGACCCGAGGCCCATGGTGATAGTCACCCAATAAATTTGAACCCTTCCTAACATTTACATTTTCATAAAAGCCTACAGCGTGTAGTATTTATTTACACTGCTCACGTTATTCAGTCTGTAAAGTTTCCTCTTGTTATCCTCAAATCAAGTCAGAGGACAAAAGTTAAAGTGTGTGAATTAAACTCTGAGAGCAGCTGCTTTGTTTGTTTCTTGTCAGTAAAAATCACTTCAGTGTTCGACAGTCAGAAGACACAGTTTGACATTTTTCATGTTTTATTCAAACGTTTGTACAGAAATGAAGAAGCTCTGTGTGAAATGACTTGATACCTCCAAGATCATCATCATCATCATCATCATCATCATCATCAGTCTACAGCGTGAACAGACATGAACGTTGATGAAGTCAAACCTCTCAGTCAACAACAGGAAACAGTCAGAGTCCAGTTTACACCGGGCTCAAACTAAAGCAGTCTGAATCAACAGTCCTCAAACAGGTTAGGACTTTCTTTGTCACCATGTGGAAAACTGTCTTTGTCTTCACAACAAAGAAAACATGATGACAAACAAGACAACATTTTCTGAGCAGTAAAGTTTGGGGGTATGGGGGGGGGGGTTATGTTTTTTTAACTTTATAAATGTAATAATGGAATCACACTTGGGACCAGTGATTGTTTGTAATCATGGTCTGTGACTCGTGGCAGTCTGAAGCGTCTGAAACCTAAACTGGGAGTGCAGGGGATGAGAGGGGTCGCTGGTTAATAAATCCTGAAGGTTCTAATGTTCACTTCACACAGACTCATCATTATTAATATCAGTAACACAAAAATAAAACCTTCATCACATTATATTTGACTTCAGCTGCAAAATATTCACTCATCATTTATTTTCAGCATAAACTGAAGTTTTATGGTTTTAATTCTACATGTTGGTTATTCTGAACCTTTCAGAGCTACAAGCACTTTGATTATTTATATTTACAGCAGTTATAAAACACTTTGATTATTTATGTTTACAGCAGTTATAAAGCACTTTGATTATTTATGTTTACAGCAGTTATAAAGCACTTTGATTATTTATGTTCACAGCAGTTATAAAACACTTTGATTATTTATGTTTACAGCAGTTATAAAACACTTTGATTATTTATGTTTACAGCAGTTATAAAGCACTTTGATTATTTATGTTTACAGCAGTTATAAAACACTTTGATTATTTATGTTTACAGCAGTTATAAAGCACTTTGATTATTTATGTTTACAGCAGTTATAAAACACTTTGATTATTTATGTTTACAGCAGTTATAAAGCACTTTGATTATTTATGTTTACAGCAGTTATAAAACACTTTGATTATTTATGTTTACAGCAGTTATAAAGCACTTTGATTATTTATGTTTACAGCAGTTATAAAGCACTTTGATTATTTATGTTTACAGCAGTTATAAAACACTTTGATTATTTATGTTTACAGCAGTTATAAAGCACTTTGATTATTTATGTTTACAGCAGTTATAAAACACTTTGATTATTTATGTTTACAGCAGTTATAAAACACTTTGATTATTTATGTTTACAGCAGTTATAAAGCACTTTGATTATTTATGTTTACAGCAGTTATAAAACACTTTGATTATTTATGTTTACAGCAGTTATAAAACACTTTGATTATTTGTTTACAGCAGTTATAAAGCACTTTGATTATTTATATTTACAGCAGTTATAAAACACTTTGATTATTTATGTTTACAGCAGTTATAAAACACTTTGATTATTTATGTTTACAGCAGTTATAAAACACTTTGATTATTTATGTTTACAGCAGTTATAAAACACTTTGATTATTTATGTTTACAGCAGTTATAAAGCACTTTGATTATTTATATTTACAGCAGTTATAAAACACTTTGATTATTTATATTTACAGCAGTTATAAAACACTTTGATTATTTATGTTTACAGCAGTTATAAAACACTTTGATTATTTATATTTACAGCAGTTATAAAACACTTTGATTATTTATGTTTACAGCAGTTATAAAACACTTTGATTATTTATGTTTACAGCAGTTATAAAACACTTTGATTATTTATGTTTACAGCAGTTATAAAACACTTTGATTATTTATGTTTACAGCAGTTATAAAGCACTTTGATTATTTATGTTTACAGCAGTTATAAAGCACTTTGATTATTTATATTTACAGCAGTTATAAAACACTTTGATTATTTATATTTACAGCAGTTATAAAACACTTTGATTATTTATGTTTACAGCAGTTATAAAGCACTTTGATTATTTATGTTTACAGCAGTTATAAAGCACTTTGATTATTTATGTTTACAGCAGTTATAAAGCACTTTTTAATGGCACGAACACACACAGGGTTCAGTGTGTCGCTCAAAGACACTTTAACATGTTGGACTGGAGAGATATTTCATATTGTTTTGAGACACTTTAATAAAACTGGAACTTTATTGTAAGTTAAGTTTAATTAGCTCCTTTTTCAAAATGTTCTATTTTAATTCAATAGCTGGATTGGCGGTAAAATCATAGAGAACACGATCAATAAGTGATAATAGATGCTACCACAGATAAAATCTAATTAATAAAGGTATTTGACTTTGATTTGGTCAAACACTAAAAAAGGTAAAAAAAAAAAAAAGACAAGTCTTTTACATAAAAATGTGTTAAAAGTCCATCACAAAATACAAAAAAAAAGTAGCTCGTCAAAATTCTGAAATATTATGGAGGACAGATGTGTAAAAACTGGAATGGCTGTTTCAGTTTGATGTGTTTAAACTTGCTCATTTTGTTTTGTAACATGTCCTGGACATGCAAAAAGGGGTGAATAACTTTACTACAGCTCACTGAAGCTCACCACCCATTAGTTAACTAGTCTCCTCTTTCCTAGAACTAAGTGAGAGCTCACTCCCTACCAGCCGCTAGTCTCCTCTTTCCTAGAACTAAGTGAGAGCTCACTCCCTACCAGCCGCTAGTCTCCTCTTTCCTAGTACCAGGAGCTTTGTAAAATTACTCCGCTAACACCCTTTGGAGGAGAGAGGACTTGTTATAATCACACAGCTCCAGGATTATCTGCCTAACATTCATTTCTAGAATAATTAGATTCTAGAATAACCCCTGGTACAGGACTCTAGATTACCCCCCGGAGAGGGAATAACTGTAGTCTCTCCCTACTGGGATGTTAGGTGTGTATGAGGTGTGTAGTAAAAGTCAGTAGAAGTGTGCCGTGGTGTGACTGCTCAAGCTTACCTTCCGAGGTTCACGGGGTCCTTAAGGGAGACTCCAGTCTTTGTGGTGTGAATGATTTCAGTCAGAAAATGATTTCAAAAAGTTTCCGAAAATTTATTTAAAAAACTTCAGATGATATTCCAAATGAAAATACAAAACAGTAAAAGTAAAAATATAAAAATGTAAAAAGTAAAAGCAAAACACAAAGACCAAAGTCTAAACCTGAGAGTGTAGACACTTGAGGTTTTAAAAGATCTTGGTCTCAGAGACTAAGTCCCAAAATGGGGATTCAAAAGTCAGAGTGACGTGGAGTCCTTTAGAAAAGTAAAAAAGAACCTCGATCAGCTTTTCCACAACGTGTTTATAGCCAGACGGTCTCTTTTTCAAGATTCTGTAAAACCTCAACAATTCATATTCGCAGAAACGTGATACATCCACAGGTGATACTAAGTTCATATGTGGTTTTAATGTCAAATCATACAAGATAACACAGGTGATACTAAGTTCATATGTGGTTTTAATGTCAAATCATACAAGGTAACACAGGTGATACTGTAAGTGCTGTTACATAAAACTTTAAGTGCATGAGTTATAAATGATTTCATATTGTCATAATTTCATATATTCGATAAATAAATAAATAATAATTCATGTATGTTAAGCTAAAAGGTTAAAAACACTGTTGAAATATTTATGCTTCTATGTGGAACTAAAGTCCCTTGTTTTGGTTCCGCTACGACGGAATTAAGGGACGGACACTGATGTCTGAAGTTTAAGCAGACTGTGAAAGACACTTTACAAGGACTTTAAATGAGTCAAGAACCTCTTTTCATGACAAGCGGTGCAACAAGTTCTCAAGGCGTGGTCGGCGTGGTTGGCATGATTGGTATGTGATACAAAGACGATGATGCTTCACAAGATTGCTCCAGCAATAAACGCCCGTTTCAAAGAACCACCCTGTGTTTGTTGTTGTGAAGAGAGCTATAGTGAGAACTCGCCTGCTCAACACAAGTAGGAGAGACTACAAGACTACAAGACTACGGCGGGAAACGACGAAGAACCAACATATCAGATAAGCTAAGCCCACGTCCATGTTGGCTAGGCTACTGCAAGCTAAGATTATTGGACTGTGTTAAAGGTGCAACTATTCAGGCTAAAGCTAAAGTGTTCCACCTCCAAAGAAGTGGTTTTACTTGAAAATTGCATATAAGGACACAGTTCTATTAACCTTGCACAAAGTGCTTAGTTTATATGTTTCGGGACAAAACTGATGTGTCGTCATTTCATGTTGTTACATATTACAAGATTGTTAGTTAAGTTAAAGACTGTTTGAGTTTAAAAGGCAACTTAAGGAAAGTCTAAAGGGTCACTAGATTAATGTGAAAATTATTTTCCTACACAAAAAATAGCAATTTAATTCACTTTTAAGTTTACAGTCTCAGCAATTAAGGTTTATAATTGCATATTTAGGTTACTATTTTCAGTCTTCCTATTTTTCTGATGCACTATTGAAGTTTAGAGCCAGGAACTCTTAGATTTACACATAGCACTTTATATAAGATCTCAGTCAAGCTCAGCGAATACACACATAACACAGCTTTCAAGCTATCCCAAAATGTCTCACACAAGTGAACCTCCAGAAGCAATCTCCAATCAAAAGACAGAAGACACTAAAGGACCAAGAAGAAGTGAAAGAACCCGAACACTTACAGAAAAGGGAAGGGAACTTCAAGAGGAAAGGCTTCAGAGTGTACAACAAAAGTACAAAATCATCTATGAGAAATGGAAGTGTCAGGCCAGAATAGGCAAGAAAATATTGAAATATAATCCTTCCGAGGAAGATTTAAAGGAGTTGATAGAGAACATTGAGAGCACTTGTTCTGATGTAAAGACCATTTATGAAGAGTTACGTCAAATGAAAATTCCTGAACAAGACCTTCGACGCAGAGTCGACACGTGCATATCTCTTTCCAGTTTCATTGTTCAGAGAGCAAAAAGACAACTAAGCGGACACACAGTCGAGCAAGAGGAGGAACTATGGCCAGATGTTGGATCTATCCTCGACTTAACTGGTTCTCTATCAAGACCACCCTCTCAACGTACAAGGTTTGGCTCCACCCACTCTAGCATTCACTCAGCTAAAAGAAACATGGCTGCGGCTGAAGCTGCTGCTTCCCAAGAAGTCTTAGCTGTGCTAGAGGAACAAGAAAGGGAAGCTATGGAGCTACAAAGGTTAGAGGCTGAGAACAGCAGGCAATACAAGAAAAACGTCGAAAGCTTGAACGTCTTGAAGAAGTTAAGAAATTCAATGCTGCAAGAGCTCGAGTTAAGATTTACGATCAAGCTGAAGACAACTTTGAAGATGGCTCACAGTATGATGTTAAACCGTTAAGAGAACCTTCAGTTCACTATCCCACAACACAAGCTTTAAACCCCTCAAGTTCTCAATTCATTCCACTGCATGTGCCAATTACAAGTCAAGCTACTCTTCCCCAAAGTGTGCAACTGCTACCTCAAGCTCCACCAACCTCAGTGTCTATGCCTCAAGTTCAAAATGGCTCTGAGTTTGTCAATATGCTAGCAGAAGCTATTGGTGCTAATCGTCTCCCAACACCAGAGCCTGCAGTATTTACTGGAGATCCTCTGAAATTTAAAGATTGGAAATTATCATTCGATACATTGATAGACAGAACAAACATTCCAAAGAATGAAAAACTGTACTACTTAAGAAAGTACCTAGGAGGCACTGCAAAGAAAGCTGTTGAAGGTTTCTTCCTGCTGGGCCCCGAAGAAGGTTATGACTCAGCCTGGAAGCTACTAGAAAAACGCTTCGGAGATCCATTTGTTATCGGAAAGTCCTTCAGAGACAAGCTCCATGGATGGCCAAAGCTAAGCACTAAAGACGGTTGTGAACTAAGAGAATTTGCAGACTTCCTCAGAAGTTGCGAAGTGGCAATGCCACACATAAAGACACTAGAAGTTCTCAATGACTGTAATGAGAGTCAAAAAATTCTGATGAAACTACCAGATTGGTTGGTATCTAGTTGGAATAGAAAAGCCATGGAAGCAAGACAAACAAAGACTGGGTATCCACCATTTAGCGAGTTTGTAGACTTCATATCAAAGGAAGCAGATCTTGCCTGCGACCCTGTATCCTCAATACAAGCCCTAAAGAGCGCAGAAGGCAAGAAACCAAAGCGTAACCAGACCATTCAAGCAAAGACACTGTCGACAAACACAACACAAAGTAGCATCCCATCATGCATTTTCTGCAAAAGAACAGGGCATACCTTAGCCAAGTGCAGACAGTTTGCTGAAAAGACAGTTCAAGACCATGTCAAGTTTGTGCAGGCAGAGAAGCTTTGCTTCGGATGTTTAAAAACTGGTCATCACTCAAGACAATGTGATAACAGAAGCACATGTGAAAAATGTCAGAAGAAAAATCCAACATGTTTGCATGACGACAAGTTCAAAGGAAGTCAAAGGTTACCCACTTATAAAGGAGATGGCAACTCAAAGGACAAACTAGACACCAAAGACATAGTTGCAACAGCAACGAGTAACAGAGTCATGCAAGAAGGCTTTAGCACACACACATCTTCAATCGTACCAGTCTGGGTCTCATCCATAAAACAGCCAGACGAAGAAATTCTTGTTTATGCGCTCTTAGACACACAAAGCAACACAACCTTCATCTTGAATGAAGTAGCCCAAGACCTTGACACAAACAAAGAAAATGTCAGTTTACAGCTATCTACAATGTCTACAAAGTCAACAGTCATACACTGCCAGAAACTGAAGAACCTGCAAGTAAGAGGATACAATTTAGAAAAAAGGATTCAGTTACCACCACTCTTCACGCGAGAGTACATTCCAGCAGACAGATCGCACATTCCAACTTCTGAAACTGCTCTAAAGTGGCCTCATCTTGAACAACTGGCAAACAAGATTCCACCACCACTGGATATTGAAGTAGGTCTTCTCATCGGTTATAACTGTCAGCAAGCCCTTCTTCCAAGAGATATCCTGTCAGGTGAAGAAAATCAACCATAGGCACAGCTAACTGATCTCGGCTGGAGTATTGTTGGCTGCTCTAATCCATCAAGCGACTACGGCGATGCAATAGGTACCAGTCACGGAACCATAGTGCGACAAGTGACACCTGTTATGGATCCATCAGTCGAACTAAAGAAAGAAGTACACTTTGTGTGCAAAAACCAAGTGAAAGACATAATCAAGGCTCTTGAATCTGACTTTCTTTGGCAATTAAATCTTCCAGCCGAAGAGAAAACGGTGGGAGAATTAGAAGTAACTGATCCAGAGCTTCGCAAGGTGTACATTCACACAGTCGAGACAAAGGAAGTGAATTCAATAGCAAACCGCTTCACAAAATTTTCTGACTGGTCCAGAGTCGTAAGAGCAGTTGCCAGGCTCAAGAGATATGTCAGAGAATTCAAAGGACTTCAACAAAGAACAAATGAAGCAACTAACCTTAAAGAAAGAAGAGAAGCAGAAATCAAGTCAGTGCAAGAAGACTGCTTTGCTGAAGACATCAAGAAAATCAAGCAACAGAAAAGAGATGCACTGAAAAGGCACAACAAGTTACACCAGTTGAATGCTTTCCTGGACGAGAACAATGTACTAAGGGTGGGAGGACGACTCTCTCATTAAGCCTTACACCATGATGTGAAACATCCGGCAATTCTACCAAAGAAATCTCATCTGTCAGCTCTGTTAGTCAAACATCATCATGAACGAATAAAGCATCAAGAAAGAGGTATGACCATGAACGAGCTACATGCAAACGGGATATGGATTATTGGATGTGGAAGTGTGGTCTCCTCACACATTTACAAGTGTGTAAAATGTAGGAGATACAGAAGAACCACAGAGGTTCAGCAAATGGCAGACTTGCCAGAAGAAAGAACTGAAACATCGCCCCCCTTTACCTACTGTGGTATTGACTGTTTCGGACCATTCATTGTGAAGGAAGGAAGAAGAGAATTAAAACGTTATGGACTTTTGTTTACATGTTTGTGCTCAAGAGCAGTACATATCGAAACACTGGATGACCTGACTACAGACATAAATGCACTAAGAACATTTGTAGCTATCAGAGGACCTGTCCGCCAACTGAGATGCGATCAGGGAACAAATTTCATGGGTGCAAGGAGAGTGTTTTCTGAGTTACTTAAAGGATTGGATCAAGAACGTCAAAGAGCAATTGGATGTGAATTCCTCATGAATGTCCCATCAGCGAGCCACATGGGAGGAGTTTGGGAACGGCAAATTCGAACGATCAGAAGCATTCTGACAGTCATGCTCGACAAGTCTGCAAGCAGGCTGGACACCACAACGTTGAGGACATTTCTTTATGAAACAATGGCTATCATCAGCAGTAGGCCTTTAAGTGTTGATCATCTTCATGATCCAACTGGTCCAGAACCTCTCACTCCCAATCACCTCTTAACCATGAAATCATCAGTTATTCTGCCTCCTCCTGGATAGTTCTGCAAGGAAGACCTGTACCTCTGCAAAAGATGGAAAAGAGTGCAGTTTTTAGCCAATGAATTCTGGCAAAGATGGAAGCGAGAATACCTGCTTAATCTACAACAGCGACAGAAATGGTAAAGAACATCACGGAACTCACAAGTAGGAGACATCATGATTCTACAAGATGATAACTCACCCAGGAACGAATGGAAACTCGCCAAGGTTGTAAAAGTTTGCCCAAGCTCAGACGGCTTGGTGAGAAAGCTGAAGTTACATGTCAGTGACTCCACACATGACAAAGGAAAAACACACACTAGATCAGTTCACCTTGAAAGACCCATTCACAAGGTAGTCACCTTACTTGAAACTAGCTAAGCTACATACATGTGGTCACATTTCATTGATATGAAACATGCTTATTTCCCCTTGTTATTTAGTTTGAAGAAAATCCCACATTCAAGGTAAATGAGTGATTTTGGTGGGAGTGTAAGTGCTGTTACATAAAACTTTAAGTTCATGAGTCATAAATGATTTCATATTGTCATAATTCCATGTATTCAATAAATAAATGAATAATAATTCATGTATGTTAAGCTAAAAGGTTAAAAACACTGTTGAAATCTTTATGTTTCTGTGGAACTAAGTTCCTTGTTTTGGTTCCGCTACGACGGAATTAAGGGACGGACATGTACGGTGAGCACACTTTCCCGCGAATTTGTGTAAACATGCATGAAGACTGTTACCACTGATGTCTGAAGTTTAAGCAGACTGTGAAAGACACTTTACAAGGACTTTAAATGAGTCAAGAACCTCTTTTCATGACAAGCGGTGCAACGAGTTCTCAAGGCGTGGTCGGCGTGGTTGGCATGATTGGTATGTGATACAAAGACGATGATGCTTCACAAGATTGCTCCAGCAATAAACGCCCGTTTCAAAGAACCACCCTGTGTTTGTTGTTGTGAAGAGAGCTACAGATACTAAGTTCATGTGTGGTTTTAATATCAAAGCATTAAGGTAACACAGGTGATACTAAGTTCATGTGTGGTTTTAATGTCAAAGCATTAAGGTAACACAGGTGATACTAAGTTCATATGTGGTTTTAATGTCAAAGCATTAAGGTAACACAGGTGATACTAAGTTCATATGTGGTTTTAATATCAAAGCATTAAGGTAACACAGGTGATACTAAGTTCATATGTGGTTTTAATATCAAAGCATTAAGGTAACACAGGTGATACTAAGTTCATATGTGGTTTTAATATCAAAGCATTAAGGTAACACAGGTGATACTAAGTTCATATGTGGTTTTAGCTTGAAGACCGTGAACCAGGTAGATTCGCAGAAACGCTATACACCTACGAGCTCGTATGTGGTTGGATGAGGAGGCTGGAGGAGAAACTCCGGGTGAAGAGAGAAACATTCAGATGTTTCTGTTCACACATGACGCTCAGTATAACCCTTTTCACACATATGGAAATCTCCTGAAAAACTCCAAAGATTTGGCTACTGGAGGTTCTTTAGGCTATGTGTGAACGCAAACAGACACATTTTTTGTGCAGACTTTACCCGGAGTTTATCCCACCAGACCCTTAGTATTTTATCCACAGAAAATCCGAGTGAGCTGATGTCTGAACGCGGCTGAATATACTCCGGAGATTTCAATTTCAGCCAATGAAAAGAGAATGACGTTTATATAGTGACCGGCTAAAGTGTCTGCACGCGACCACTACGATCTCCGTGCTCTAATTAAACGTCTGCATTCTGTTTTCTGTTGGTCAGTATGTTGTTCTCCTCTCTTTAGTGGATGTTGTCATTCCATTGGATTACACATAGCATTGATATAAAGACAGATCATTATAACGTCGTGTAGCGGACTCTGTTGCTACGGCCACTACTTCCGCGTTGTTTATTTACGTCACGTCTTACCTCAGGAAATCCCCCGCGGCCCCCTTCCCCCCTGACAGGGATAGTCTCAAAAAAAAAAAGGGCCATAAAACAGGAAGGTGCAGACATTAAATAAAATCAGAGCAATAACACAGAAAGGCACGTATTCAAGGTGTGTGGGAACAAATATGAACATTCATGAGGTCAATCCCTGTGTTCATCAACCCTTTTTTTTACAATTTTAACAATTTTACATATTGTTACATCAAAGTCAGATGAACATTCACAGCAAGAAATTGTTAACCCTTATCCCACCCCCCACCCCCTCCAGGTGGCGTCCCCACATAAATACACAAACCTTTAGACGACAAGGCAATAACAAATAGAGGGTGTATTAACATGCATGTAAGCACTCATATATAGAACAATATGCATCTAGATGTTGATCCTCTTAATGATAGCAATATATACGTTGTTGCCAGAGAGACAAAAAGGAATTAAATAGACAATAACAATAATACAACAATAAGAAAAATAAAAAAAGCATCGGACATACTATCACAAAAATAACCCAAACTGGCATGTTTAGATTATGCTACTTGTAGTACCAGTATTCTAAACCCTTCAGGAGAAAGGGTAGGTAAGAGCTCCGACAACCATAATCAAAGTCTCCCAACTCAACAGTCACAGAGCCGATATAGCATCTCAGGTTAAAGATAGGCCTCTGACATGTGTGATAAAAAGTGACCAAGTTTTGTCATACTTATCTTCCAACCCACATACTTTATATCTAAGTTTTCTCCAGATCTAGTCCCAACATTATTCTCGGATCCAATGAATATAGGTGGGGGGAATCCTTCCTTTCCAATTGAGCAGTATCAAACAGCGGGCATGTAATGACGCATAAGCAATAGCATTTTTGTGGAGGCGGGAAAACATCAATTCATCATCAACTGCTCCAAAAATAGCTGTTATTGGGTTGGGAGGTATTGTCCTACCAGATATTGCCGAGAGTGATTGGAAAACCGATATCCAGAAAATGCATAATGATGGGCATGCCCAGAACATGTGCCCCAATGAAACAGGAGAATGATGACACCTGGGACGAATTGGAGCCACATTAGGATATAATTTAGCTAACCTGTCATTAGAGTAATGCAATCTATGGACTATCTTAAATTGAATTAATCCATGTCTGATGCAGAAAGATGAAGTGTGTATTAAAGAAATAATGTTTTCCCAAGTATCTTCTGAGATGAGCTCCCCAATGTCTCCTTCCCAAGCTGTCTTAGTTTTATCCCACGTATGGGGGCAACTATTCAAAATAAGTTTGTATATTTTTGATACTGCACCTTTATTGAATGGATTGACATTGAGAACTGAGTAAGCTAGGTCTTTAGGGGGGTGGGCATGGATATCCTGGGAAGTGTTTGGAGGCAAAACTCTGAGCCTGAAGGTATCTAAAATAGTGTCAATTTGAAAGATTGTGGTCCTTGCACAGAAAAGTACTCCAGACTGCAAAAGCCAGATCCAATTGAGATGGTGCAAAAAGATGATTAGACATTATTGGGGAGAAGCCACATGTATTATTGAGGTTAAAATATTTTCTAAACTGGCCCCAAATCCTAATTGTGTTTTGAACCACGACATTCGCACTCAAATCCTTTGCTCTTACATTTAATGGGAGGGGGGCAGTTAAGAAAGAGATTGGGGAGACTGGGAGAGTAGACTGTAACTCCATATGAGCCCAAATAGGGCCATCCTTATCCGCAAACGTGGTAATCCAATATGTCATCTTGGCAATATTAGCAGCCCAGTAACAAAATTAAAAAATAGGCAGACCCAGAACACCCTCTGATTTGACTTTCTCTAAGTTTGATTTCTTTGTACGTGCAGGCTTCTTGTTCCATATAAACGATGAGATTAGGCGGTCTAGCTCGGTAAAATAGGATTTTGCGAGAAAAATGGGCACCATTTGAAACAGGTATAAAAACCTGGGTAGTACTGTCATTTTTACTGAATCTATCAGGCCCGCCAGGGTAGTAGGGAGCTTCGACCACCTATCCAGATCCCTCTTGGGGCGCTGGTGGCTCAGTGGTTAGTGCGCACACCCCATGTATGGAGGCTGTCGTCTCAAACGGGCGGCCCGGGTTCGCCTCCCGCCTGTGGCCTCCCTCCCACATGTCATTCCCCTCTCACTCCCTCCCTGATTTCCGACTCTATCCACTGTCCTCTCTATCCATTAAAGGCACAAAAAGCCCAAAAATAAAGCTTTGAAAAAAAAAAGTCCTTGACTGAACCAGCTATCTCGACACCCAAATATGTAAATTTTTCATTCTCAACCTTAAAGGCAAGATGATCGTAATTGATCTGTCGTGCCAGATCATTTAGTGGAAATAGCAGGGATTTAGACAAATTGATTTTGTATCCAGAAATATTCCGCAGCAAGGAAAGAAGGCAGGGAATACTATCTACCGGATCTGACATTTGCACAAGTAAATCATCCGCATAGAGAGATGTTTTGTGGATTATGCCACCCCTTGTAATGCCCTTAATCCTATTATCTGATCTAATGGCAACTGCTAACGGTTCAATTGCAATGTCGAAGAAAAAGGGCGACAGGCAGCAACCCTGCCTCGTACCCCTATGCAGCATAAAACAGTCAGAGATATTGTTATTAGTTCGAACAGCAGCCATGGGTGCAGAATATAGAATTTGTATCCAGTTGCAAAAAATAGGTCCCAATCCAAACTTTTCTAAAGCAGCAAAGAGATAGTTCCATTCAATCCTATAGAACGCCTTTTCAGCATCAAGACTTAGGATAGCCTCAGGTTGTACTGGTGAGTTGGGGGACATTAAACAACCTCCGTACATTAAAAAACGACTGACGTCCAGAAATAAAGCCTGTCTGGTCCTCGTTAATGATGGTAGGAATAAGGCTGCTAATCGTTGCGCAAGGATCTTGGTTAAGATTTTATAGTCGCAACCAAGAAGGCTGATTGGCCTACAAGAGCTACACTTTAGGGGGTCCTTGTCTTTTTTCAATAGCACTGAGACTATCGCTTGAGAGAGTGTTGGTGGTAATTTTCCATTGACCAATGATTCGTCATAAACAGATTTTAGTATCGGCACAAGTTTCTGAGAGAGTACCTTGTAAAACTCAATAGGGAACCCATCCGGGCCAGGTGCCTTCCCTGTTGGAGTTATTTTAATAGCATTTACTATTTCTTCAGATGACAATGGCTGTTCCAAAGACCGAAGAGAGTTTAGGGATATCTGAAGAGTTGAGAAATGAGTGGATGTCAGACAAGTTAGTGTCTGCCTCCGATTGATACAGGGCAGAATAAAATTGTTTAAACTGATCATTAATAATTTGAGGATTGTTTGAAATTAAACCAGCACCTGTATTAATCCCTTGGATCATCCGCTCAGCAGACTGTTGTTTAAGCTTTAGTGCGAGGAGTCTCCCTGCTCTATCTCCATAATCATAGTAAAGTTGTTTAGATTTCAAAATGTTTTTTTCCGCTCTCCACACTGAAAGTGAATAAACTCGGATTGAAGCAGTAATTTTTCTTTGAAAAGCTCAGGTGTAGGCGAGCGAGCATAGCGTCTATCAACATCCGCAATGCTGTTTGTTAAATCCCTAAGTTGCCTAGAACGTTCCTTATTCCTTTACGCAACATAAGAAATAACTTGTCCCCTGATGTACGCTTTTAGAGATTCCCACAGAACACTCCTTGAGATGCCTGGAGTGTCATGAATTTCAAGGAAGAAGTCAATCTGGTCATTAAGATACATTTTAAAGTGTTTGCACGAAAGCAATTGGGGGTCTAGGCGCCAGGTGCGCTGGGGCGCTATATTACTAGGAAATATCAAGTCCATTTGTACTGGGCCATGATCTGATAGCACTATGCTATGGTATTGACTACTGGGTATCAGGGAAAGTAACTGGTCCTCTACTACGAAATAGTCAATCCTAGAATAGCTATGGTGGACAGGGGGAAAAAAGAGAATTGTTTCACAGTAGGATTTTTTGCCCGCCACGGATCTGATAGGCCGTGAGAGCGAAGGAAGGAGTTGATGGGCACTGCAGATGTTGATAAAGTACTGTTTGGTCTCGGGTTCGACCTATCTAGGTGGGCATGAAGCACACAGTTAAAGTCCCCACCTAACACCAATTTATAGGAATTAAGATCAGAGAGGATTGAAAATAAATTTATGAAGAACTGTGAGTCGTCACAATTTGGTCCGTAAATGTTAGCCAGTATTAATGATGTATTAAAGAGTCTGCCAACA